GCTGACTTTGCAAGAAGATATCTTGTGGAAAATGTATTAACCCAAAGTCCCAAGGAACAAGCATTCATATACACATTATAGTAAAGTAATAGTGTCTTCAAGTGACTCTGCTTTACATGTTTTATTTTTGCATATTTTGTAGTGAGTCTTTTTTTTTTCTCTGAAGTACCTGTTAGACCAGATGTGTACTCTGTCAGCTTGTGGAGACAGTCTGTCTTAACATGTAGATAAGAAATTAGGCCAAGTCATCCTGTACAAAAATGCTGGGAACTAGGATTGTATATATGAAGCAATTCAGATCAAGGTTCGCAAAATAAGCTTTGTCCTCCACCAGAAATACTGAAAAATCATAAAGTGAGACTTCTGTTCAAAGTAGTGGAGAAGTTCGTGGTCTCTGTACATACGAAGCTTTCTAAGAGCATTAAGTCTGTACTGCAGTAAGGAAAAATTGGTTGTATATCCTGCTGAGTAAGGAAGACAGGATAATCTTTGCCTTAAAGAGTTCACAGTCCTTCCTGTTTGTTTTAAATCTCGCAGGAGTCTAATACAAATTAGTGATGGTGGAATGAGATGTGAGAGAGCAAAAGAAAGCAGCAGGTTTTGCACCGTCACGATAATTATTTGCTGTTTGTCTGCCCGCCTTTAACTCAAGAGCTTTAAAGATTATTTCACCTGAATGTTAGCATTTACAAATTTCAAGTTCACTGTGTAAAAGTGTATCTAATCTACAAGTTTCTGAACAATACCTTGCAGATAAACAACCCTTTGAAAAGATCTATTTTCTTTGTGCCATAATGGTACACCAGTGAAGGCACAAAAGCATGCAAAGCAAACTTTGGGGGAGAACTGAAGCAAACTTCTTTATTACTGGTTCGGAAAAGAAACTTCTTTCGCATTTGAATTCCAGCACGTGACCAAGCTTCACGCATCAGAAAAAGTATGGGCAATATTTGCCATTCTTGACAAATCAATTGTGATTTAACAAAAATGCTTAGTATTTGAAAATCACGCTTAGCTTAATGTAATTTCAAACTGGGTTGCAAGAGGTGCTGCTTTGTGTGTGGTTTGCTTCTGAACGAGTTACATACTCTTTTTTTGATTTTTGAATGTTGGTTTTAAGTGTAATTGGAGCACTACAGAAAAGCAACACTATCTCAGTTATATCAGGTATCACAAATGTATAGCTGGGATTTTTTTTAATAGAATAATAATTCACTATGGCACTGAGTATTAGTGTCACCAAGTCTGGTTTGTATAGTCGTTTTTCTTTCTCTCTGGGACAGTACTTCCTTTCATGTTCTGTCTTTCCTTCCTACTGCACAGAACATTCAGTTATTGATAGCTCAAGTTTGCAACTTCTCTCTGACTGAACTATAGTTCTAATCATCCAGTTTATACCTGTGGATCCTAGTAGCTGATACAGGAACAGAAAATAACATTCCAGCCAAAAGTCAGGGAAGATGCTGCACTGTTTGTGAATTGCTGATTTGCAAACTCTACTTCGGCCTGCATCACCTACTTCCACAGTTCCTATGCTGAGGGTTCCGACCATAGCAGTGAAGTTGCCAGCAAAATACAATGCATTGTCCATAAATAATTAAAAGTAATAAAGGATTCGTAATCCAAATACATACTTCAAAACTTGCTTCAAGCACGTACTATGCAGAATAATACTCATTTAAAAGGGTATTGCAAACAGAACCAGATTTATTTTGGTGCATGCCTGTGTCTGCAGCCACTTCACTGGATGTTGATCTACTCTCTACTTTGCTGAGAAGGTAGATGTAGAGAATGGAAAGTTGTCCTCAATGCGATTCTTCCATGATTGCGTCCCGATCTGAGAAACCTGTACCTCCGTAAGTAAGGAACAATTGTTACGGCTAGATTACATCATATGATCTAGTGTGGCCTGTATAGCAAAGGATCTTGAATTACATTTGCTTAGTGCTTTAAGCAGGAATTGATAATAAATTGTCACCTCACTGTAAACTGTCAATCCACTTAAAACAGCTTTGATTAAACTGTAATTACTGGGGGGAGGGAGGGGGAGAGGATACATACCTTCCAAAAGGCAATTAGGTATAATTTTTAAATTGGCCTTTGGGAAATGAATCCTTCAGTCTGTTCAGCTAGTGCTTCTGCTATTCGGTTCTAAGTTCACAGCCATCTGTTAGATTTCCCTGCCCCATGAATGCATGACTGTAAAGCAGCAGTCACCACAGAATTATTTGTCTTTGGCATATGTTGTCGATCGGCTATCTGCCTTCTCGGTTCCGTCCTCTAAGCCTCCTCCTCGTCTTCCTGAGGTGCTCATGCGGGGAGGTAAGGAATGGACGCCCTCTTGCACAGCCCCCGGCGTGCTGCATGGGGAGGCAGGAGCCTGCCGCTCCTGCTGCAGCAGTTCTCCGGGTATCACCCTGCGGAACGAGGTGTATCTTAAGAAAAGCAGTTACAGGTAAATAGTTGTGGGTTTTTTTTTTTCCTACAGTCTAGGCCTTCGTACTGCTAGTTTTCGCTTCTGGAGCAGCAAAAAAGACCTCCCTGTTTCGAGGAGATAAAAACTAAAAATTAAAAAAAATAAAAGACACGGTGTACATTTCCATCGAGCTTATTTTACAAATGATTTACATAAGTCAGGTGACATTTTCGACCTGTTCCCTGCTGGCAGGAAGATACGTTTAACTCCCCAAACAAAAGTCTGAGCGACCGGGAAGGCGGGGAGGGAGCTC